GTGATCGTGTATTTACCAATCCAAGTGTGCATTTCCACCGAGTCTCAGTGTTTTTTGTTTTTTTTCGGGGGGGGGAGGTGCCTACGTTGGTGGGACCCGACCGACTGCCCCAATGTCTCCTAGGGGAGCGACCTGTTTGTTCCCGTAGTAGCAGTCCATCTGTCTCCGTTGTGTCGTGTTTTTCCTGTAGGTCTTCTATTCGAGACGTATCTTTTGTTCTTTCATTTGATTTCTTGAATGCCTCTTCCATAAGTGTGGATGGTTGATCCAAGCAAAATGAAATCTTTTCTAACTTCTATCTTTTCTCCATTTATATGGATGTTATTTATTGGTCCAGTGGTGAGGAGTTTTGTTTTCTTTACATTGAGATGCAACCCATATCGAAGGCTGTGGTCTTTGATCTTCATCAGTATTTTAAGCCATCTTCACTTTCAGCAAGCAAGGTTGTATCATCTGCATATCGCAGGTTGTTATGAGTCTTCCTTCAATCCTGATGCCATGCTTTTCTTCATATAATACAGTTTCTCGAATCATTTGCTCCGCATATAGATTGACTACGTGAAAGAATACAGTACAGTACAGTAAAAGAATACAGTCCTGGCGTACACCTTTCCCAATTTTAAACCATTCAGTATTCCCTTGTTATGTTCAAACAACTGCTTCTTGGTCTATGTACAAGTTCCTCAAGAGCGCAGTTAAGTGTTCCAGAATACTCATTCTCCACAATGCTGTCCATAGCTTTCATGATCCATACAATAGGAAGCCTTTATATAGTCAGTAAAGCACAGGTAAACATCTTTCTGGTATTCTCCGCTTTCAGCCAAGATCTGTGTGATATAAGCAAGGATATCCCTTGTTCCACATCATCTTCTGAATCCGATTTGAACCTCTGGAAGTTCTCTGTCAATGTGTGGTTGCAGCTGTTTTTTTATTAATTACCTTCAGTAAAATTTTGCTTGCATGGGATATTAGTGATATTATCTGATTATTTTCGCATCCCATTGGGTCCCCTTTCTTTGGAATGGACACAAATATGGATCTCTTCCAGTCAGGTGGCCAGTTGTCTTCTGAATTTCCTGGCATAGATGAGTGAGTGCCTCCAGTGCTGCATCAGTCTTTTGAAAGCTCTCAATACCCAGTGCCTTGTTCTTTGTCAATACCTTCAATGCATTTTGGACTTATTCCATCAGTATCATGGGCTCTTGATTATATGCTACCTCTTCAGATGGTTAAACAGCGACCATTTCTTTCTGGTACAGTGACTCTGTATTCCTCCCATCTTTTGACACTTTCTGCATCTTTCAATATTTTGCCCCTAGGATCCTTTAATATTTCAAGTTGAGGCTTGAATTTTTTTTCTTCCATTCCCTCAGCTTGAGAAATGCTGAATATGTTCTTCCCTTTTGGTTTTCTAACTCCAGATCTTCGAACATTTAGTTATATTAGACTTTGACTTCTTTAGCTACATTTTGAAATTTTCTATTCAGTTCTTTTACCTCTTCATTTCTTCCATTTGCTTTAGCATCTTTATGCTGGAGAGCAAGAGTCTCTTCTGATGTCCATCAGGGTCTCTTCTGATATCCATTTGGGTCATTTCCTTCTTTCTTGTCTCCTTAATGACCTTTTGCTTTCTTCCTATTATGATGATCTTGATGTCATCCCACAACTCTTCTGGTCTTTGGTCTTTAGTGTCTAAGGCATCAAATTTGTTCTTGAAATGGTCTCTAAATTCAGGTGGGGTATTTTCAAGGTCATATTTTGGCTCTGTAGACTTATTTAAATTTTCTTCAGCTTCAGGCTGAACTTGTATATGAGCAACTGATGGTCTGTTTCATAGTCTGCCCCTGGCCTTGTTTCAGGTGATAATATGGAGCTATTACACTGTCTCGTTCAAAGATGTAGTCAATTTGATTTCTGTGTATTCCATCTGGTAAGGTCCATGTGTATTGTCGTCTTTTATGTTGTTTAAGAGTCCTGGTGTGGTGCTGGATTAATGTACTGGCCTGCAAGGTCAGTTTGGACCACAAGGTCAGTGGTTCAAGCTCACCAGCTGCTCCTTAAAAACCCTTTACAGGGTTGCTATGAGTCAGAACCGACTGGACAGCACTTAACAACAACAACAAAAAGATATTGGCAATGAAGAAGCCATTAGTCTCTCAAAATTCTGCCATGTGATCTCCAGCATCGTTTCTGTCACTAAGGCCGTATTATTCAACTACTGATCCTTTTTCTTGGTTTTGAACCTCTGTATTCCAATCATCGGTAATTGTTAATGCATCTTGATTGTATTTCTGATCCATTTCAGACTGAAGAAGTTGGTAGAATTCTTCAATTTCATCATTACTGGCTTTAGTGGCTGGTATGTAAATTTGGATAATAGTGGTATTAACTGGTCTTCCTTGTAGGCATATGGATATTTTTCCTCTCACAGACAGATCTGTACTTTAAGACAGATCTTGACATGTTCTTTTTTGATAATAAGTGGGATACCATTCTTCCTCTGTGTTTCATTCCCAGCATAGTAAACTATATGATTGTCAGATTCAAACTGGACAATGCCAGTCCATTTCAGCTCATTAATGCCTAGGATATCAATGATTGTGCATCCCATTTCATTTTTGACAATTTCCAATATTACTAGAGTCATACTTCATACATTCCATGTTCCAATTATTAATGGATGGTTACAGCTGTTTCTCTTTGAGTTGTGCCCCATCAGCAAATGAAGGTCCCAAGGGCTTTACTCCATTCGCATCACCACAGTCAACTCTACTTTGAGGAGGCAGTGTGTCCTAGTCATATTTTAAATGCCTTCTAATTGGAGGGGCTCATCTTCCAATGCTATATCTGACAATATTCTGGTGCTCTTCATTATGTTTTAGTATTTACTATTATGGTGCTGATAGTGTTCCACTGTCATTCATAAGGTTTTTAGGGATTAAATGTTCAGAAGTAGCTCGTCTCTTCTTCTTCCTAGTCTGTCTTCATCTGGAACTCAGCCGAAACCTGTCCACCGTGGGTGACCCTGCTAATATTTCAAATACCCAGGGTATAGCTTCCAGAATCACAGCAACACACAAGCCACCACAGTACAACTCTGACAGATGAGTCGTGGTTCTGACTCATAACAACCCTGTATAGGGTTTTTACGTGGCTTTAAATCTTTGTAGGAACAGGAAAGCCTATCTTTCTCACCCTGAACAGTTGTTAGGCTCGAACCATGGACCTTGTGGTTCACAGTACAGTGTTTATTTTATGGGGCCACTGCACTCCCAAGATGGTATTAGAAAAAGGAATAATCCTCATAGATGTCTAAATTGTGTCTGGATATACTTACCTTGAAGCCCTGGTGTATAACTATAGGGTAAGCACTGGATTACAAGGTCAGTTTGAACTGCAAGGTTGGTGGTTCAAACTCACCAACCGCTCCTCGGAAACCCTATACAGGGTCACTATGAGTTGGAACCAACTTGACAGCACTTAACTATAATAACATGCATTCCTTGCCTACCAAGAGAGAATCTGATTGGACAGTTGACAAGGATTTTGAATTAGAACCATGTATTACCTGTTTTGCAGTTCTGGTGTGGCGCTACAGGATAAAGCACTGGACCGCAAGGTCAATTTGAGCTACAAGATTGGTGGGTCAAACCCAGCAGCCACTCCTCGGAAACCCTATGTAGAGTCACTGAGTCAAAACCGACTCAACAGCACTTAACAACAACAGCATTAGCTGTTTTAGAGTCGCAGTGTGATGCTGCAGGGTAATGCACTGGACCGCAAGGTCAGTGGTTCAAAGTCACCAGCCGCTCCTTGGAAACCCTGTATAGGTTTGCTATGAGTAGGAACTGACACAACAGTACTTAGCAACAACAACATTACCTGTTTTAGAGTCCCAGTGTGATGCTGCAGGATAATGCACTGGACCGCAAGGTCAGTGCTTCAAAGTCACCAGCCGCTCCTTGGAAACCCTGTATAGGTTTGCTATGAGTAGGAACTGACACAACAGTACTTAGCAACAACAATATTACTTGTTTAAGTCTCCTGGTATGGCGCTATAGGATCAGCACTGGACTGTGAACCACAACACAGGCAGTTCAAACCCACCAGCTGCTCCTTGGAAACCCTGTACAGGGTTGCTATGAGTCGAAACTGACTCCAAGGCGCTTAACATTACCTGTTGTAAAAATTAAATAAGCATTTTCAGTGAAAGATAGCAATACTTTATCATTTGAAATAACCGACTAAGTATGAAACAATTAGTTACTACAATTGTTGATGTTAAATTTTATTAAGTCAGTTCCAACTCATACTAACCCTCTACAGGGTTTCCAAGGACTGGCTGCAGTTAGCAATCTAGTGCTTATTCTACAGCACCACACCAAAACTCCAGTTACTATGTTGTGAATACCGTCGAGTCAGTTCTGACTGATAACCACCGAGGATGTAAATCTTTGCTGGAACAGAAAGCCTCACCATTTTCCTGCAGAGCAGCTAGTAGGCTCAAATTGGTGACTTTGTGGTTCACAGTTCAGTGCTTACCCAATGGAGCCATGACATTCCCACCAGTTACTATTTAATGTCATTACCCTGCATAGGGTTTCCAACCACCAACTGTGTGGCTAGCAGTCCAGTATTTATCCTACAGCGCCACACCAGGACTCCACCAGTTAGTTACTATAGTATTATTGTTGTTAAGTGCAGTCGAGTTGGTTCCTATTCACAGGGACCCTGTATACGGTTTCCAAGGAGCTGCTGGTGAGTTTCAGTCGCTGACCTTGTGATTCAAACTGCCCTTGCAGTCCAGTGCTTTATCCCAGAGCAATAGTAGGAACTTAAAATATATAATGTTTTTGGATTGTTGGCTTTTGTGGGTGCATGTATGTACTTGGTATTTATTTTGTTGTCATTTGCCTTGTGTGTTTTGGTTTTTATTGTTTTATTCCATTTTGTCTTTACTAGGAAGAATCATTTATAATGTTTTTGTCTCTATAACGTAGGCGGTTTCCAACTGTTGAAAAACGAGCCAAAGTCTTCAATGGAGCAAGTTATGTGCCTGTTCCTGAAGATGCGCTTTTACTTAAAGCACTACTCTTTGAATTTAGATTGTTGGATGATGATAAGGACTTTGTGGAGAGTCGGGATAGCTGTTCACGAATCAATAAAACATCTGTCTATGGAATTCCAGTAGGAGGTGAAGAACTTTGGCCAGTTGTTGCTTTTATGAAGAATTGCATGATATATGCTTCTGTTCCTCTAGTTGAACAAACTTTATGCCCTCGCCCACCTTTGATTAGCATTAGTGGAGTTTCACAAGGCTTTGAACTTCTTTTTGGGATACAGGATTTTCTTTTCTTGAGTCAAAAAAATGATGCTGAGCTAAATTCAAAATTGAACCAGTTGCCTGACTTACTCCTGCAGACTTGTCCATTTGGTACTTTGTTAGATGCCAACTTACAAAATTCACTGGATAATACTAATTTTGCTTCTGTGACTCAGCCACAAAAACAGCCAGCTTGGAAAACTGGAACATACAAAGGAAAACCACAAGTTTCTATTTCTATAACTGAAAAGGTGAAATCCATGCAATATGATAAAAGAGAAATAGCGGATATGTGGCAAGTTGTTGGAACTGTAACTTGTAAGGTGAGATTTTTCTCTGGCAATAATTTTATCATTCTATTATCATAAGCAGCAGCCATTAGATGTTAGTTCCATGTGAAATTTTATAATATTATCTTTTGGCATGTCTTATGAATGGAATTCAAGTCAAATGGTGGTGCAAATGATTAATGAGCTCAGTATGTCTTTAGGAAAAAAAGATGGACTAGACCTTAACCCAGGAGCTGAATGTTTCTTAAGTTTTATGTAAGTAGTATGATGTGAACCAAATAATCTTAAGTAATTTGTTGTTGTTGTTAAGTGCCATCAAGTCAGTTCTGACTCATAGGACCCTGAATAGTTCCTGATGAGCAGCTGGTGGGTTTGAACTGCCAACCTTTTGGCTCGAAGTCCAGTGCTGATCCTACAGTGCCAAGAGCTTAGTATTTATAGGAGTTTTATTGAGAAGTCCTGTAATTAAAAAAAAAAAAAATTATGATCTTCATTTTATTTTAGTCCTATCAGGACATCTGGTGAACTGAAAGCCAGTGGAATGAAATTCTAGTCCTTGCCCCACCACTGATTCTCTCGCGAGGTTTTTGTTTTGTTTTGTTTGCGTTGATAGAGGATAGATTGATTCAAGGACAGCGAATCTAGACCTGTTTAGAGAACTGTGGCAAATTCTAAGTTCAGGAGCCCTGGTAGCACTACAGGATAAGGATAAATAGTGGGCTGCTAACCACAAGGTCAGAGGTTCAAACCCACCAGTTACTCTGTCAGAGGCAGATGAGATTGTCTGCTCCCATGAAACTGTGCAGTCTTGGAACCCTGAAGGGCAGTCAGTTCTAATCTGTCTCATAGGGTCACTGTGAGCTGGAAGTGACTTGATGATAATGGGCTTGGTGTTTGCTTTTTTTATGTCGTTGCACCAGAAATGGAAAGAAGTCAGTGGACTTAAAACATTTTTGAAGAATTCTGAAAGTAATCAGAGAAGAGACTAGAAATGCTGTCCTTGTCTCTAGTGTGGGTACCTGAGTGGGTGATCGAACCATTAACCAAAACATGCAACATATGACTAAGACCTTTAGAGAAAAATGAATTAAGTTAAGGAAAATGACTGACAATTTAGAAAAGCCCCACATAGAAGGTTTGCACTTCTAAACTCTTGGTAATAACCATTTCTGTTTCTATTGCAGTGTGATTTAGAAGGATTCATGCCAAATGTGACCATCAGCCTGAGCCTCCCCACCAATGGATCTCCACTTCAGGATATTCTGATTCATCCTTGTGTGACTTCTCTTGACTCTGCCATTCTGACATCTAATAGTATTGGTGCAGTGGATGATTCTGCATTTAGTGGACCTTATAAATTCCCATTCACTCCACCTTTAGAGTCATTCCATTTATGCTATTATACTTCCCAGGTAACTAACCTTGGAAAAGCTGAGACTTGGCTAATTTTTACGTTTATGCTTTTATTCCAAATGAGAACTTGTCATGAATTCAGATGAGATTCAGTTCTTGAAAAGGATACCTCAGATCTCTGGTATCTATAAATGGTTTTCAAAGTCCTTGAATTATGTTTTTAGTGTTCCCTCATAGGGAATCCATTTCTCTTATAAGATATATTCTTTTATTGTTGTTGTTGTTGTTGT